TATTACTTCTGAAAACTTGCTGAAGGGTCAGATATTGATCAACTCTGACTTGATGGCAAACAATAACAACAAAAATTGTAAAAACACTGTAGAAACATTAATCAGCCAGCTTCTACAAAAATTGTTGTTGTTGTTGATTGCCATTGAGTCGAGCATGACTCGTAGTGACCCTATGAACAAAATACCCAAAGCTTTTCTATAACTATTGTCGTTTCTCAAAGTTGATAGAGTTTCCAGAGGCATGTTGTTTAGGAACTAGGTGCCATATCCTTGGAAATTCTGTGGGACATTTCTGAACTGTTCCATAGGGTTACTTAAAAGAGCTCTGGTGACCTAATTGGTAGGGAGGCCCTGCCAGCCCAACTGAATACAGTTCGAATCCACCAGCTGCTCCTCGGAGAAAGATGAACAGAGTCTTCCTGCGGGATTTCTTTTGAAAACCCTCTGCAGAGTCAGCTACGGGTTTGTTCCAGCTTAGTGGCAAGGATATTGTTTTTTTAGGCTTATTATGAGTTGAAAGAGACTCAACAGCAGCAATGAATATAAAATCCTGGATTACCTTGAAGAGACTCTTGGTAGGATTATGGTTGTCAAAGGCAGCTCTGGTGCAGAAAGCCATAAAAAAGTCTCTGTTGATTTAGAGAACACATAAGGTACAATTAAATAATTGTTATTAGAAATGTGAGGCTTTAAAAAGGTAATGATGAATATGTGATTAGAGACTGGAGAAAGGGCTTTTTTATTCCATAATAAAGAACTTGCCTGAACTTTTAAAATGTTTGATTGAAGACAGAAATTGTACATGAAAATTGGGTATTTGGCTGAGGAAATTTCTAAGGAAGATCACAAACAGACCACGTGCAAAAGGAAAGAAATAAGCTTGAAAATGAACTCTTAAAAGTGAAAACAAAATTTATTAGATGAGGAAAATTCTGCTGTACAAATGATGACACATGTTCAAGTATTTTCATCAAGCACATGACTACAGTCCTTTGTAAAGGCATTAAGCTCAGGACGCATTGACCCAGCTCACTAACACAACAGAATACTCATTATTTTAAACTGACAGGTGTGGAGATAGGCTGACAGGCAAGACAACGTTCTGCCTCTTGGAATTCTGCAGGCAATAAATAGACCGAAGGAGCTGCCTCTGTAATTCTCCAAGAAAAGAAGAGAGTCATCCAGAGAGCAACTGGGGCGAGATCAGAAAGACTGTTTGTTGGAAGAAGTAGGGAAAGCAAAACTGTTTCGAGAGTTAGGTTTCAAAAGTGGAGCCAAAGTCTCCCAGGTCTCCAAGGGTGGAACCACAGCTTCCTGGTTTTCAAAGATTCAGAGCTGCACGAAATCAATTCTGGAACATGGGGCAGCCAAGTCAAGAGGAGAAGGCCACCCAAGACTGAAAGATTGGCGTTTCCAGGCTCAAGGGGAAAGAGAATGGAATCACTCCTCCTCCCTCAAAGGCTGAGGAAGAAAGTTTGCCACTCAGATGGCCTAAGAGAATGAGGCTGCCCAAAGCTGAAGGAAGCAGAGTTGCCGTTCCTGTGAAGCCAAGGGCTAAAGAGACCTCCTCCCAAAATCCAGAGAATGGCCAACGCTCAGGAGTCTGAAGGGCAGCGTCATTGTCCTGGAGAGGAGTGGATTTTCAAGGCTTGACAGCTAAATTGTTGTAAATTGTTCTGCTGGGCTTTGGACATTCTTGATGATCATTGTCCTTTTTCCTCCTCCAATTTATCATATTTATAATTGAAAGGTCTACTTTTTCTGTTTGACTACTGTAACTTTGGAAGTATACTTACTATTCTAGATGTCACAAGTATACAAATGAGGAGGATTTTTTCCCCGAGATGGAATACTCCTATTGTCTCACATATATTTTATTTAGATGATTCAAAATAAGTGATTCCGGTTTTGGAGTTGATTTATGATTTTTTGGTATGGTTATATGATGGGATGAATGTGTTTTGTATGTAGAATAAGTCTAATAATTCCTAACACCTTCTTGTTATAGCTGTTGTGTGTAGCTTGCGACTCATCGCGACCCTATCTACAACAGCCCTAAACTCTGCTCTGTCCTGTGCCAATCACACCGTCTCCGAAACACCCATCCTGATTATCCCAGTCACTGAATCAGTCCACCTCATAGGGGGCCTTCCCCTTCTGCGCTGTCCCTCCATCCTACCAACCATGATGTCCCTCTCCAAGGACCGGTCCCTCCTTGCAACATGTCCAAATTATGTTAGACGGAGTCTCAGAATCCTTGCCTCCAAGGAGTAGCCCGGTTTGACCCTTTCCAGGATGAATCTGTTTGTTTTCCTAGCAGTCCACGGTACTCTCAATACTCTTCTCCAGCACCACAGCTCAAAGGCATCAATTCTCCTTCTATCCTCCTTGGTTATTGTCCAACTCTCTGATGCATAACAAGTGATAGCAAAGACCATGTCCTGTATCAGACGCACCTTAGACTCCAAAGAGACACCATTGCTCTTCAGTACTTTGGAGAGGTCCCTAACAGCAGACTTTCCCATGGCAGTACATTTTTTTTTTTAAATTTCCTAGCTACTGGTGCCAAGAGTGTTCCCCATGGAACCAAGCCGACTAAGGTTGTTAACAATCTCAATCTCTTCACCCTCCATACGATGCTGCCAATTGGTCCAGTGGTGAAAATCTTTGTCTTCTTGATATTGAGCCTTAATTCATATTGGAGACTGCAGTCCTTGACCCTCTGCAGCAAGTGCTTCAGGTCCTCCTCAGTTTCATTAAACAGGGTTGTGTCATCCACATAACGCAGATTGTTGATAGATCTTCCACTAATCTTGACCCCACATTTCTCCTCATAGAGCCCAGCCTCCCGGATAATCCGTTCTGCATACCAGTTGAAAAGGTGTGGAGACAGGACACACCCCTGGCGTACGCCCTTCCCAATTTTGAAACATGCAGTGTTTGCTCTGTTCTGACCACTGCCTGTTAGTCTAAATATAGGTTTCTCATTAGCACGATTAAGTGTTCTGGGATTCCCATTCTTCTCAGAGTCAGCCACAGTTTGTTATGATCCGCACAGTCAAACGCCTTTGCATAATCAATGAAACACAGATAGACATTCCTCTGGCATTCCCTTCTTTCAGCTAAGGTCCATCTAATATTAGACATTCTTAGGAATGGATATTTTTCATTCTATCAAAAGCCATTGGCATGGCATTCTTGTATTTTTTTTTCTCTTAATTTGCAAAAGTTGCTTGTATGTCATGGCTGTATTCTTTTGGTAAAAAAACTCCTGTTGTTGTTGTTTGTTGTTAAGTGCCCTCGAGTCACAGGTGACTCATAGTGACCCTATGAAGGCTTGGGTGCCTTTCATCCTCTTCCCAGGTTTATAGGGTTTCCAGAGGCAAGCTATTATGGAAGTGGATGCCACTTCTCCTTCCAAGCTTGTTTTAATCGGGGAGCTCCACCCCACTTTCTGTCCGTATTGGGTAGCCAACCATTAACACATTTGACACATCATTGTCACAGTGTTCAGCCTCATAGCAACCACAAGTGACTCTGGTACGGCAACTTGTCCACCAGGGATATATGACCTAGAGGAATGTCTGAACAAAAAACAATGAAAGACAGGCCCAAGGGCTGTGGATTAAAAGTCACTCACTTTTGGCTTGGTAGCATCACTTTCTGTCCACTTGATCTTTTCCCTCTTGCCTTCTGAATTGTGTGCCTTGTCTTAGAAGATTGTCCTTTTCAATGAATTTTACTTTCTCTGTTTATATGAATAATTGTTTTATCCCATAACATATTTGTCATGTAGTTGATTGACTTGTTTTCCTGCTCTTCTCTATCTCCTCGAAACAATACAAATTTCTTAAAAGCTTCTCCCAGAATTTAGTATCCCAGCTTTTAAAATGTTGTAACTGTGGTTTTGATGCAGTCATTCAAGCATAGGGGACTCATGTGGTTAGCACTTGGTGCATTTTCTAGTGTAGTAAAAATGAGATGAGTATTGAATATCATTTGAAAAGTTTGACCTTACACTTGATATTTAGTATTTTCTGTTGATAATTTAGCACCCCAAACTTGCTTTCTAAGTGAACTGTTATGGAAGTGGTTATATGTATGCATCGTTCTCCATGTAACAATGCTGGTATTAAATGTTGTACAGTCTATGCTTTGGTAAAAGAGTATATGTTAGACAAGAAAAATAAAATATTAATTCATCTAAATGTATTTGTTCTTATTCTCCATTTAGTTTTGTCAAAGGAACGTGCTTCACAAGTCCTGATTAGAAGACGTCGGGCAAATGCTTTATTTGAAGAAACGAAAAAGGGTAATCTTGAAAGGGAATGCATTGAAGAACTATGTAATAAAGAAGAAGCCAGAGAGATCTTTGAAAATGATCCTGAAACAGTAAGAAAACAACCAAATTTGCATACTTAGAGATGAATTCTAGATAGAACCTTTGGTCTCTTGTGTTCTCTTATTGAGTCCTTCTCTTAAGTTAATACTTTATTTATATTACATTGCACACATAATCACTGTGGAATGGCAGAGGAAAATGTCTTCAAAGGACAGTGGGCTTGTGAGCAGAGTCTATGTCCTATAATAATGTACTTTGATCAAATGATCACTAATCATGTCTTCATTATCAGCAAACTGTATTGACTTCCTGGTTTGTGAATACTTTCTCCAAACAAGGATTTGGTAGTACTGAGGAGTGCCTTCAACTTACGTACGTTGTAGTTGTGTACCATAGAGTTGGAACTGACCCATGAGCTGACCCCTCCGGCAGGTTTTCAGAGGGAGTTAAGTACACTGGGGGAGCTTGTCCATCCTTCCGTGGAGCAACTGGTGACCTCAAACTGTGTGCCTTTGAGATTGCAATGCAGCTTCTTGCCACTAGGCCACCAGAGCTCCGTCTTTTTGTGTAGGTGAATTAGTAATTTAGTGTGTGATTTTAAGAGAGTGAGAAAGGAAGTATCTGACTATCACTGTGGTTTAATAAATTTCTCTATTGTTATTTTTAACCATGCTTTAGAGAACACAGCCATCTAATTTCTGTTTTTCAATCCCATTTCACTTCTCCTTATTGTAAACAAACTATGATTGACATTGAAAAGAATGGGTATTTTAGAATATTTAATTGTCCCCTTGGAAAATCTTTACCTAAATCAAGAAGCTATTGTCTGAACAGAGCAAGGAACAGTACGTGGTTTACAAAAAGGAAAGGTGTACATTAGTGATGTATCCTTTCTCCATACCTCTTTAGTCTTTATACTGAGCAAATAATTTGTGAAACTTGACTGTTAAGAAGAATGTGGTATCAAGATAGGTTCCTTATCAGCAACCTGCATTATGCAGATGACACAATGTGAACACAAAGAAGACATGAAATGCTTGCTGCAAAAGATCTAGAACTACAGTCTTTGGTATGAATTACATCTCAACATCAAGAAAACAAAATTCTCACCGCTGACTGAAGAGTCAACATCATGAGCCACCATCTGCTCCTGCTTTTGGAGGGAAAACCGTGGTCATTCTCCCGTTGTTATTATTACAGCCTCAGAATCCCAATGCAGGGTCACTATGAGTTAGAATGTACTCAGTGATATGAAAGGTAGTTTGAGATTTTGTGGGTTTTTAAAAAATTTTTTTAATTGTATTATTTTTATGTGTACCATCAAATCAGATCTGACTGGTACAGGAGGAGATTGCGCCCTCCTTCTCCAGCAGAGCATCTGGTGGAATTGAACCGCTTACTTCTGGGATTGCAGTGCAGCGTCTTGCCACTAGGCCACCAGAGCTCCCTTGGGTTTTTTGTTTTTTAATCCAACCAGGTTATGGTTGGTATTGATAATCCTTGCACTTAGGCATCACTGAAAATGATGTAGTTACTTGACTCCAATGATCAGTAACTAAACCGTAAAATAAAGAAAACAGTGATAGCATTTGAGGGACCTGAAATCTCTAGAACGAATAAATCCCTTTTTAATGAAAGAATTAGCTGGAGATTTCTGTGTCATTGAAACAGTAGTATCAAAGCAAGAGTAGTAAGATCATCCTTTAGACAGGTTCATTAGATTTTAGCATATCTTTTCTGAGGACCTCATTTGCCACAAGACCATTTATGATGAAGCAAAAAGCTCTGTACAGACCTCACTTGATGCCAACTTCAAGAAATTGACTCCAGTGGTAAGCGCACTGTCTTCAGTAGTAAAACCTAACTCTCCCTCTAGGTCCATCGTCTTCAATAGTAGACATGTTTTCATCTTGTAAAAATAGTGAGTGCCATGTGAAGATGGCCATATGTGACCTCTGCTAACTTCACAAAGGAGAACTGCCCCGATCATTATCATTCACAACACAAATCCAGTTCTTCTAAGGTCAGACACTTTCCCCACAATCCTGCAACACTTTCTACTAATTCCAGCACCAATCTTACTGCTCTACTGAGTCCAAAATCTGTTGTAATTGCTCACAGAGCACACGGAACCATACTCTACGATTATGGGGTTTATTAACAGGATACAATTTCTCAGTCGTGACAGCTTCCGAAGTGTGCTCACAGACCTTTCAGCCTTCAGCCTCAGGACTTTAGGCCAGTGTTAGAGAACTCTTAGTCTGGCACTTCTGGTTCTCCTCACAATTCTCCAACAAACTTGGGCAAAGGCTCCTAGCTCAGGTTCCGAGGGGTCCTATGATCAGCTCTCTCTCATACCAGGTCTCTGGTTCTTGCTGTAGTTCCTGCTGCTCACCTGTAGGTCTGGCTAGCGCAAGAATCTCTGGCCCTGAAAATGCACTGTATTCTCTGCTTCTTCTTTGCTGGTTGTGCGATTCTCAAAATCTGGTTGCTTAATCTTCTCCATTTAATGGTGAGGCTAGCCAATCCTCTTGTTGATAGGCTATCGTATCCTGTTTGTGTATTCCTACTTACACGGCAAAGGCAAAGTCAATAGCTAGGAAAGCCAATTTGAACAGTAAACTTTGGACGCAACTTATTTTCTCCTTCAACATCTACTTTTTAATGTTGTTATAATATAATCTCACAAATGCCTCTTCAGATATGCCAGAAATTAATGGAATAAGTACTAATCTTTAAACACTATCTTTTTTTTTTCAATACTTTTTGAAGAACTATTTATTTAATATATTTTTATAATACAGTACAGGCCCAATAGTCAACATTATGATAGCTGGGGAAAAGATTGAAGCTGTCAATGATTTTATCTTGCATTGATTAACAATCGGCACCCTTGGTACCAGCAGTCAGGAAATTAGAAAACATATTACATTGGGCAAGTCTGCTGCCAAGCACCTCTCCAAAAAGCTGAAAAGCAATGATGACAGTTTGAAGACTAAGGTGCACCTGATTCAGGCCATGGTCTTCTCAATCATCTGCAATGCATCAGAACGCTGGATAATGAATAAGAATGACAGAAGAATTGATACTTTGGAGTTGTGGTTCTGGATAAGAGTACTGAATATCCCATGGACTGTCAAAAGAACAAATAGATAAGTCCAGAGTGCTCTTGGAGGCAAGGATGACGAAGCTTCATCTTTCTTACTTTGGACAGGTAACTAGGTGAGGCTATCCCTTGGTAAAGGACATCATTCTGGTAAAGTTAAAAGGCCAGTGAAGGAGGGAAGACCTTCACTGAGATGGATTGATAGACATTACAACTTGGACAGTGGCTCTAGTGTCTCAGAGATGATAAGGATGGCACAGGATAGGATAAGATTCAGGCCTGTTGTTGATAGGATCACTATGAGTCATACTTGATTTGAGGACACCTAACATCACCACCACCACCACATTATATAATAAGACAAACATTTGACTGACTCTGAGAACCATGTTTATCTGTTCCAACTTATCTATAAAAACAGACTTATGAAGGAATATGTTTGTAACATGGAAATTGCTTTTATTTCTTTTTATTGTGATTTGAGTGAAAGTTTACAAAGCAAGTTGATTTTCATTTAATTATTTATGTAGTATCAAAATTACTTAATAATAGCTGTCAACCTTATAAAATAGAAGAGTGAGAGGAGTGACAAATTTGTACCAAATTTGTACTGGATGAAGACATGTTCTATATTTGGTAAATTAGAATGTTAAATATGTTTTTTTTTTTAAAAAAAACACTTTCTCATTAGGTATTGTTATGATTTTAATGCTACACAGTTACTATAGAAAGTTTTGTGAACAAGTTTGGGAATTTACCATTAGAAATTTTTAATGCTTTTCTCATGTCTGTAAAGTACATTCCTTACTCTAAATTACTGACTTACAGACAAATTTTTGATACAGAACTATCTTATTCTATGGTATTATATATACACAAAGTGCTAAAGAAAAATGCCTGCTTTTATTCATATGATATCAATATCATTATTATTCAACATTAAATTTTAATTCTGCAATTAAGATATGGCATAGGTATTTAAAAATCATTCAAACCAAACCTATTATCAGAGTCCATTCTGGGGGGAGCCCGTCAGCGTGTCCGCAGGACCGGACCCTTGACCTGCCCTCGTTCTGCAGCCTGTTGCCCCAGCTCGGCCGCGCGTCCTCTCGGGCAGTCATGTTGGAGCATCTGAGTTCGCTGCCCACGCAGATGGATTACAAGGGCCAGAAGCTAGCTGAGCAGATGTTTCAGGGCATTATACTTTCTTCTGCAGTAGTTGGATTTATCTATGGGTATGTGGCTGAACAGTTTGAATGGACTGTGTATATAGTTATGGCCGGATTTGCAGAGTCCATTCTGACTTTTAGCACTCCTACAAAGCATAATGGAGCTCTACCTATACAATTTCCAAAGCTGTTAATCTTTATGGAAGTTGACTGCTGTCTTTTTCTCCTGTGAATGACTATAGGGTTGACCAGTCAAGCACCTAACCATTGTGCCACCAATTACAGGATATAAAATACATGTAAAACAGTTTGCTAATCACGAACTGTGGCAAAATGAAATAATTTTAAAGGACCAAAAACCAAACCTGTTGCTGTTAGGTTGAGTCATACTCATAGCAACCTTGCAGGACTGAGTAGAATTGCCCCATAAAGTTTCCAACCCTTTAAATCATTATAAAAGCACACTACCCCATCTTTCCTCCGGAAAACATCTGGTTGACTTTGAAGCATCAATTTTTTGTTGAGCATCCCAGCACTTAACCACTGTACTACTAGGAATCTAATGGGTATAAACAATGTGCTAGCCCTCTTAAATAGAATCTGTCTTCAGTTTAGGAACCCTTGGAACATGATCAATATTATTTCAAGCCTGGATTTTTTATGGTTTAATGTGTGTGTTCATCTACTCATAGTATGTTTTATTACAGAAAAAAGTTATCAGGAAGAAATTACAGTTATTTTCAATTTATATAAACTTTAATTTGAAGATAGATTATAGAATGAAATAGCAGCTTTATGTGATATTTAAGTTTTCTAAAATATTTTTTTTCCTTTTTTCTTTCTAGGACTATTTTTATCCAAAATATTTAGGTAAGTTCAAAGAGTCTAAAATATAACCTTTTAGAAATAGCAGGTACCTCAGAGCTTATTGTGTCCAGCCTTCGTATATATTTGGTCCAGTATATTGTTGCTAGCCTTGGAAATGAGATCTCATTTTACATTGACTTTTTTACTTACAGTTTTGCGGGTAAGTTGGAATATTTCTTTAATTTTAAGTAGCATTTGATGTTGCAATTTTTTTCACTCTCATTTTTTTAGGAAAGTCTTTGAACTGATGCAGTTATATTTAGGTCTTTACTTGTTTGTTATGCATCAGAGAGTTGGACAATGACTAGGGAGGATAGGAGGAGAATTGACGCCTTTGAGCTGTGGTGCTAGAGAAGAGTATTGAATGTACCATGGACTTCCAAGAAAACAAACAGATTCATTGTAGAGAGGATTAAACCAGGCTGCTCCTTGGAGGCAAGGATTCTGGGGCTTCGTCTGACATACTTTGGACATGTTGTAAGGAGAGACAGGTCTTTGGAGAGGGACATCATGCAGGCTAGAGTAGAGGGACAGCGCAGGAGGGGAAGACCCTCTATGAGGTGGATTGATTCAGTGACTGGGGTAATCAGGATGGGTGTGTGAGGGGCAATGAGATTGGCACAGGATAGAGCAGGGTTTAGGGCTGTTGTACATAGGGTCGCTATGAGTCGCAAACAACTCGACGGCACATAACAACAACAACAGCATACTAGCAGGTTCTCTAGAAGCCTGTCCACTTTCATGGATTAGTTTTAATGGAATGAAAGATAGTAATTTCTACACGTCTTCACTGTTTAAAATTAAAAACTAAACCCACGGGTGCTGAGTTGACTCTGACACATTATGACCCTCCATTGGCTTTCAGAGGCTGTATGGGTGATTCTTTCTAGGAGTCCATCCACCTCTTTGCCTCATGGACAGAAGCCGGTGGTTTTTCATCTTGCCACTTTGGATATAAATCATCTCTTAAGTGTTTATAAACTAGCTCATAAACATCTCTTTCAGCACGCCATTTTATTATCCTCTGTAATGTTCTATCCTGGTTTTTTTCTTCTTTTGAATACAGTCTGTATTTTCAAAGAGTGTTGTAGCGTTTTCAGGTCAACGGATTAGATCATTTCAGCTAGATATTAATTAAAGGAAACAGTGCTTCATGTTTTTAAGCAAATATAATTGATCTTTCTTATTTGCAGATTGAATATTTGCTAGTTCATTTACTTGCTAAAATTTATTTGTAACCGTCACGGTTACATGAAAGCTCATAGTGTTTTTATGGTTTATTTGCAGACAAGTGCAGTTAGGAAAGAAAAAAAAAATGTCATTAGATATATTCCCAACTCAAGCTGTGAGTCATACTCAGTGGCATCTAATAGCACTCTGCAAAACTACAGAAAAATCATAACTCAGGCAGGGAGCTACTTACAATTAGATAAGGTCATACCAGAAATTAGGTTACAATAACATTTTTTTTGTATAGTGTTTAGAATTTTAGGAGTTCAGAAAGCACTCTAGTTTATCCACTTATGTTGTATACTTAATTGAAAATATTTAATTTTGAGTGGTAACTTCCCAATATATTTTATCCGAACCTTGCTGTAAATTGAACTGGAGGTGATTGTCAATCTTTCTCCCATGGAGCCAGTGGTAGGACCACCAAGATGTTAGATGTTAGGTTCTGTTTCAATAGTTATGTAAAGAGGAGAAAATGGGACATAGGGCCACAGTGCCATGAGCATCTCACTGAAAGTTGAATATTTTCAATATTTATTCAACATAAGTGAATAAACTAGAGTGCTTTCTGAACTAAAATTCTAAATCTAAATACTATCCAAAAAAGAAGTTATTATAACCTAATTTCAGTAATCATCTCACTGAAAGGACCAGAGAGAATGAGAATAACACAGTCCCTCACTGCCCAGAGCAGAAAGCAGATAAAGAGCTCATAGTCCAGCCTCATGATGCCTCTAGAACCAGAGCAGCAAGAGATTTATTTGTTGCTGACTCACAGACTCACAGTTGTGGTATGGAGAATAGGTTTTATTAGGGAAGTAAGTTGGAGAGTATGGGAGGCAAAGAATATTACCGAATACAAGTCCAGGTTTTAGCTCAATTCTTAAATTTCTAGTATCTAGTTTCAGGTCAGCAGTCAAATCCAAATCTTCCAGCAAGGTTTGCCTCAGAGCAGTTATAAGTCACCTTTTCCTTCAAGCATCTGACAAGAACAGCAAAAACCTTTAACTGTGGCCTTTATCTCAGGCAGGGCTCCTCTGCTTACACCTTGCCACAGTTTCTCCATGGAAATACAACAGTATCGCCATGGCAACGCCACAGTCTCTCCACCTCCAGGATCTCGCTCTTACCAAAGTCTTGCTACAAGCTCCCTCAAGTCTTGCTGCCACAAGTCTTACTCACCTCAAGTCTTTCTGCTCAGAGTGGGAATAACTCTTTCTCTTATCCTAGTCCCACGGCTGTTGATGATTTGTAAGACCATGCTGATTTGCAAGAACATATTTCTGCAATTAAAGTAGGTTGAGCTCAGAGGGGGATAACTGTAATGGCTGAAAAAAGCCAACTTTTAGGCTAACACCACAACCGTGAAAACTGAGTCTTTGAGTGAGTTGAGCAACTCCCTACAGGCTAAGCCACCAGAGCTCCCTAACCGTCTATATTATTATTAGGTGTCATGATTTGGCTACTACTTCTAGTATTCTTGTGTAAAATGGATGGATATCTTGCTCCCTTCTATGCCATCCTCACTTGGTTGATTAGGTTGTTTTATTGGTAGGAAAAATATTCTTTGAAGAATATGAAACTTCATCTTAACATCAGGAGTATATCTTTGCTTTACAGTTCCTATAAAGTTGGTGAATTAAATCTGGCTACTGACTCTCTTCTTACTAGATAACCAAGAGAATTCCAAACACTAATAATAACAAATATAACAAAACCAACAGGAAATATGAGAAACCCATGAGTAGACTGAGTGATGGCTTTTATCAAATATGTGTCTGAAAGAACTAGAATGCTAACTTTTGAGGCAGCAGTAAGAGGACAGATGAAAGGACTTTTAAAATGTCCTGAGCAATTAACTCAAGGGGAAATAAAACACTAGTAGAACAAACTCTGAGAAGGAAGAACTTATAAGGCATTTAGTCTAGTAAAGAATTAATGTAAAAAGTAATAGTAGTTCTCTATATAAGTGATAATCACTTTGAGAGCTCTGGTAGTACAGTCATTTATATAGATAGTTGCACTGATAACCCAAAGACTGTACTTCTCTGGCAGTTCAAATCTACCAGCAGTTCTGTGAAAGATGGGCAATTGCCTCCTGTGTGCTTTACAGCCTTGGAAACCCACTGGAGGGTTAGCTATGAATTGGTTCTAACTCAGTGGCAATTAGTTTTGAGAAAAGGATCATACAATTTACAATGCTTTTAGTTTTACATGCCATTGAGTCAGAACAGACTCATAGCAGACTCTCCAGCTGATTTTTAGAGGTTATATTATAAACAGTAGGAAATTACCCATATATTTCCCATAGATCACCTGATGGATTCAAACTTTTCACCTTCGGGTTAGCAGCATAATTCCCTATTGACTAGAACACCAGAACTCCCACAGTATTAGCTAGGGTAATTAAAAATTGAATCAGAGCAGTCTAAGGTAGGGTTTTTTTTTTGTTTTTAGAATATGAACATTCTATATTTTACTGATTTGGAATAATTTTAACTGGCTCCCAACACAATAATTACAAAGTTCACTATTCCATGAAAATGTAATTTTGCAGAGTATAGACATAGGAGGTTCTTCTGCTAACCAAAAGTTTGCCCATCTGCATCTGTGGCAGTTTGACTCTAGCAGTGATTTTTCTTTTTTCTTTTTTAAGATGTACAGTTTTGCTATTTACCTTGAAAGTCCAATGGAGGATCACTGTGAGTTGGAAATGACAGTGGCAGTGTCTTTGAGCTTGAGTGTAGATGTTTATTTGAAACTGCTACTTGGTAGCCTGACATACTGATCTCAGCACTATAAAAAATGTTTTATCTGGGCCTCCAAAGAAAGAGTTTTCTCAGTTTTGTCTTTGGTTCGCTGACAAATTTGTCTACATGGTCAAAATGATGCTTCCTCAGTGTTGATACTAATAAACCCTCCACACCAAGATGGGATAATTGTGAATGTGGTTGGCATTGGAGAATGGATGAATAAACCATAGGTAAGAAAACTCAGAATCTAAAACTGTTTGGATCTCATTGGGGTTCCAGAGTGACTACCATGATGCAAGATATTGTTTCTATGGGATAATATTCTATCCCATTGTGGTATATTAATAGTCATTTTATGTGTCCCAGGAAAGGAACCGTGATGATACAATGGTTAATTACTCAGTTGCCAGCCAGAAAGTTAGCAGTTCAAACCAACTAGCCACTCCACAGGAGAAAACCCACTCGCTACTCTATAGGAGAAAGAATTGGCAGTTTGGGTCTGAAAATTATGGCCGAAAAACCTTTAAGGAAGTTCTGCTGTCCTGCATGATTGCTATAAGTTGAAGACAGTGGAATTTCTGGTATTCTGAGTTTCCTTAAGGGAAATTGTTGGGCTAGCCAGAAAGGAGTTGCTCTGTCTACCCAAATGCTGCATCTCTCTGGCAGTTGGATTGTTATTAATGGCTTTGTGGGGAAAGATGGACAATGACCTACCATGTGATTTACAGCCTCCAAAAACCTAATGGAAGGTTAGCTTTGCGTCAGTTTTTAGTCAACTGCAGTGAGTTTGAGAGCCTCAAAGATGTGCACTACTTAATTCCCAGAACATTTGAATGCTAATTTATAATGCAAAAGCAACTTTTTAGAGGAACGTGATCCCATTAGGACCTTGGGTTGGGAGATTATCCTGGTGTGACCCATGAACCTGAGATAAATAGTTCTTATAAATATCTAGGCTGTCAGGGGCAGTAGTAGAAAATGTTATGGTGAAACAAGAAACTGCAGTGTCATAAGGAAGAGACAGTGAACAAAGAAAGCAGACAGCTTCTAGAGGTTGAAAAGGCAAGGCAATGGACCCTTCTTTGAAGCTTGTACAAGACATTTATCCTTGAAGACACTATACCTAGATTTTAGACTCTTGGCCTTGAGAACTGTAAGAGAATAAATTTATGTTGTTTTAAGTCATTAAGTTTCTGGGGAAAAAATTATGGTAGTTATAACTAAATCACATCAAAGCCAAACAAAACAAACCCACGGCTATCAAGTGAGGAGATTATCTGTCTTTTTCGCTTGGAGCGACTAGAGGGTTCAAAATTCTGACCTTTAAGTTAGCAGACAGATATGTTACATACTACACAACCAAATTAATATATTCATTTGCTGTAGAATCAGCTTGGACTGTGGTGACTTTATGGATAACAGAGCAAAATATTGCCTGGTCTTATAACATCTTCCTGAGCTTTGGATAACTAATACAGTTAGTTCAGTGAGACTTCAAGTACAAATTATATTTTTCAAAAATGGCTGTAAAAATCTTTCATACCACATACTTTTCTGCACCAGTTTTTTGACCCTCCCCCATTAAGGGCAGAATCTATTTCAACTTCTCCCTAAGTGAATAAACACTTGATCTATTCTGCTTCACAATGATAGGAAGAACCAATATCGATATCAACTGACTAAGAAGGGAATATTGCTATGAATACTTGGCCACCACCAGCAAGTTGTCTAGGTGAACCCTGGAAATCCTTTGGTGAAACTGATGCTCCCTCTAAATAAGTAATGCAAATAAACACAAAATCTATTGCCCTTGAATTGGTTCCAACTCATGGGGATTCTTCAGGATATATTCTAACAAGAAGACCTTTGGTTAGTAACCAAGTGTTTAACTAGTTGTGCCTTCCAGGGAGTCCTGAAATTGTCATCAAGCACACAAACAAAAAAATGAATACTCATTGCCATAGAGTTGATTCTGACAAGACAGAGTATATTTTCCCATTGAGTTTCTGTGGCTGTAAATCTTTAGGGAAACAGACTGCCTCATCTTTTGAGTGGCTAGTGGGTTAAAACTACCAACCTTTCTGTTAGCAGTGAAATGTTTTACTCACTATGTTACAGGGCACATTTCATTGACAACCTCTGTACTCTCCCTCTTGGAAGTTAGCTCCCATGAAAAAGTGCCTCTTTGACACCAACATGCTAAAAGAAGCTCAGTTCCTTGGAGAGGCCCAGAAAGATGAGCTGTAAAATAAAGAGGAAACTTTCCAGGAATTATGTGGTATCAATATTGAGTGAAAAGCTGTTTGTGAAGTACATTCTTCAGCCTCAGCCACCAAGGCTGAGTATATGTGCCACAGAGACAAAGGCCTAGTCATGTCATCCCAAACTATTTGACCCATGAATCACAAACAAAATAGAATGATGGCTGTAAGCCACTATGTATTGGAGTTGTTGGCTACTCACTAAAATCTAACAGAAATGTCATCATTTTAGTAAGTTGTTCAATATATGAGCAATGAATTGATACATTTATCTTCTCCAGTTATAAAGAATTGTTTGATTTTGGTACTAAATTGACTTTTGCTGTTGTTGTTGTGTACCATTGAGTCAGAACTGACCCATAGCTGACACTCCTGCAGAACAGCTGGGGGAATCAAACTACTACCTTTGAGATTGCAGTGCAGATTCCTACCGCGAGGCCACCAGAACTCTGTTATCTCTATTATTTCAGCTGTGATTTTTCGTTTACTAGTAACATCTGCCACTTTTTCTATTATCTGTTTTACCAGAGGAACAAAGTAAATGATGTAAACCTGCTGTATAAATAATGAGGCAATACACAAATATTATTAAATTAGTCTCTCTGCAACATTCTGGAACTTGCTCAAAGGAACAAGAAACATTGACTCATTCTGTTACTTAATTTTGCATACCTTCTAAAGAAAGTGCTCGTCTACAGATTTGATGGTAACTAGGTCTTTGTTAAAGAGTTGAAACCTTAGATTTTTGTGTCAATATCCCTTTTAATCCAAGGTCTTCCCCCCCTCCCCCCCCACTTTAGGCATTAAGGTTGTTTTCAAGAGAGAACATGTTACTATACATTTGCCATTGTCCCATCATTGTATTCATGGCAAATTTGATTTTATATTTTTAACTTTTCCCAGTAAGTAGATGGAAATATTTCTGGTTAACATTTTGAATGCTGAGAATTCCACAGGAGCATGCCTATACTGCCCCTCCGGACAATCTCTACTATGATTTCAGATCCAATGATGGAGTCTATTTTAAGAACATTACCTTTGTTTGTATTTGCAGTTTGTCTTGGCAATTTCCGAGCTTCATCATTCAGTGCTTCACGTCAGTCAACTAATGCTTATCCTGACATGAGGAGCTGTGTCAATGGTAAGCATTGCTGTTATCAATTTTAAAAACAAAAAAACCCAAGCTGCCTATCGGTAAATTGCACCAATGTTAATGTAACTGTTGCCTCTAAATGATCCCTTAGAGAGTTGCCTAGCAAGGAAGGCTCTTCAAAATGCATTTGGAAGAATGTTTTTCTCTTTTAAAATATTATTGTTTTATTAAAAATATATTTATTTCTAACATTTAAATTTAAATATTCTTTCTTTGTTAAGGTTGTTGTCTTTAGAATTTTTATTCCCAACAGTTTTATTTTGACTCTTGTTAAATAATGTGGTATTGTTAAGTGCCACCAATTCCAGTTACATAATGTTGTATGATTAAATATAACAGCTAATTAGCCGGCCAAAGTCGAACCATATTTCTTTCTCCGACATTTTGGCATAAAAAATAAAAATGTGGAAAACATGTGTTATGTTGAGTTAGCCTCTGAAGTTCACATAGGGCCTAGAGATAATTCTGGTAGATTAAATAACATCCTCTATTTTGCCAGCTTTTAATTTGACAGAAAAATTTGATATTGCAATATCTGAAGGGAAATATATGAATGTAGTATATATCCTGGGAATGATTTAAGCACCGAGGTTGACATTACAGTTGATCCTTGAAAAACCTGGATTTAAACTGAAGGGGCCCATTTATATAAGGATAGTTTGAAAAACACCGTGTGACAATAATTACCTCCTAGTGAGCAGTTCATCTCTCCAGTAAATAGCACTGCTATTGTTGTGTGCCATCGAGTCACCTGCCACTCATAGCGACCCTGTGCACAACAGCCCTAAAATCCTGTTCTATCCCATGCCAATCTTACTGTCTCAGACACACCTATCCCCATTACCCCAGTCACTAAATCAGTCCACCTCATCGAGAGTCTTCCTTTCCTGTGCTGTCTCTCCACTCCCCACACCAAGCATGATGTCCCTCTTCAAAATCCACCTTGCAACAAGTCCAAAGTATGTCAGACGAAGCTTCAGAATCCTTGTCTCCAAGGAGCAGTCTGGTTTCACCCTCTTCAGGACGAACTTGTTTGTTCTCCTAGCAGTCCATGGTCTAGTCAATACTCTTCTCCAACACCACAGCCCAAAGGCATCAATTCTCTTCCTGTCATCCCTAGTTATTATCCAGCTTTCTGAACCATGGCAAGTAGTTGCAAAGATCATGGCCATGACATTGTTGCTCGTCAGTACTTTGGAGAGGTCTCTGACAGTGGACCTTCCCAGTGCAATTAATCATTTAATTTCCTAGCTGCTGGTGCCAAGAATGTTGATTGTAGAGCCAAGCAAATGGAAACTGTTGACAATCTCAATCTCTTTATTCATCCTGATGCTTCCAGTTGACCCAGTGGTGAGAATCTTTGTTTTCTTGATGTTGAGCTTCAATGCCTATTGAAGGCTTGACCTTCTGCATCAAGTCCAAGACCTTCAGGTCTTCCTCAGTTTCAGCAAGCAGAGTTGTGTCATCTGCATAACACAGATTTTTGTTGACAAATCTTCCTTTGATCCGGATGTCACAGTTCTCCTCATAGAGCCCAGCCTCCCAGATAATCTGTTCACATACCAATTAAAAAGATATGGAGTTAGGACACATCTTTGGCACACAACTTTTCCCAATTTTGAGCCATGCAGTGTCTTCTTGCTCTGTTTTGACGACTGCTTCCTGGTCCAAGGATAGCTTTCGCATAAGCACAATCAAGTGTTCTGGGATTACCATTCTTCTCATATTTTTTTTTAATTTTCATTTGAGTGAAAATGTAAAAAAAATATTTTGTGGTTTTTTTCCAATCAATCATTCATACACATTTTTCCCATGTGTCTGATAATCCATTTTTTCCCCATATTATACTTCCCTTTAGAAATCTTAATAAATAAATGTTCATTGTCTACTTCCCCTTAGATGGATTCTTTCTGTATATAAACCTTTATCTAGCTTTTTAGAACTGATATTAAACAACCTTTTGGGTTTTTTGAATGACTTACTGCAGTATAATTTCTTGAAATTCTTTTGTATTTTTCCTTGTGTTTATTGACACAATACTGTAAAACTAGAAGAATGCCCTGGAGCCCATATGAACTACCACTAGTGGCGTTGAAAGTATTCTCAAGCAGCAGAGAAAAATTTATGACTTCACCAGAACAGAACCACCAGAACAAGTGGAATTGTTTGCTAGGTACTATAAATTGAAATCTGCATTTACATATAAATGCATTTAAAGATAAACGAATCCAATATAAAGACCACTGTAAAAAAATGAAAGGAAATTAGGTAACTTTTTTTCTTTTTAATAGCTAAACTAGAAGAAACAAAAACCTTGCACTTTGCCTGAAATATCTCTCATGGTCTCATAGTAAGGAGTTTGCTGTCAACCCTAAGGCACTTGGTTTAAATACACCTATTACTCAGGGGCAGAAATATCTTCTTCTGTGCAATTTACAGTCTCTGAAAATCCACTAGGATGTCACCTATGAGTTAGTTCTGACTCCAGAACACAACAATATTGAAAATTTACTTTTTATGTTGATGCCATATATTAATCTACTACTTATGTTCTTGGTAAAACTTCCTTTAAATTGTAAGCTATTTGTTGTTGTTTTCC